TGGGAAATTTTCCTCCCAGCAGCAGCAGCTGCCTGAACTGTCAGGAGTGAAGTCATTTCTCACAGCTTGCAAGTGGGAGAGGAAAAGCAAGCACTCGAGCAGGAAGGAATCTGCCCTGGAATCACATCTCCAGCAAAACAAATCCTTCCCCACTGTGCCTTGCAGGGTTTACAGACTTTGGAAAACACCAGGACTTGGTTTTCTTTAATTCCAGATGACATTCAACCAGTGAAAAGTGTCCAGGCAGCTTCAGCAAAGCAGTCTGAGGCACAGACCTACAAAGAGGCATGAATGGTTCATAAACTTTGTGCAAGCCCACTGCAGGGACCTGACCTGTGCCCTTACTCCTGGAATGCTTCCACTGGAGTAAGTGTGTTCACACCAACATGGGGCTGGACAGAAACATCAGGCTCAGAGCCCTGATCTCAAAAACCAAGAAATAAAAGGCCCTTGCTGTGCTGTCAGCAGATGTGAGAGGGAGAGCCACGTGCTGTTTCACTCACATAGGATGTTTTGGACTCTGCATCCCAGCAGTCACAGGCATAATGAGCCATCTCATTCTCCATGTGCTGTCGGAAGCGCAGCTTCTCCGGGGCCACACCGACCTTGGTAAGGAAGAGGTAGATTCTGCCAATGAAGTAACCGAGAACCGAGTTATTGATCACGCCCTGGGAAGGGAAGAGGCAGGAAAGAAACAAAGAAAACAGGTAGGTATTAATTCCTAAGGAAGTGAAGTCATGGTTTGTTGTACTTCTGCAGACAGCTTGACACCTTACGGACAGAACTTCTTGCCTGTGAGGAAGCACTAGTCTCCCCTGAAACTACCCCACCTCTTCAAATTCACCAGCACTGCCTCCATCTGAACAGAACAATCAGTTATTTACACCCTAGGGCTCATTACTAACTGTCTCTGAGCATCACCTACTTGAAAATCCCCTGCTGTATGCACAGTGCAGTCACTGGTCTCACAACAGCACCTGAGAATTATGGTTCTGGCCCAGGACCCCCCAAAAGCTGTACCCTACAGGCCACAGCTGCAACACAAGGGGAAAGGTGGTCGTTGTTGTTGTTGTTCTTTTGGGGTTTTGGTTAAGTTTGGGAGGGTGGCAGTGTTTTGGTGATTTTATTTGGGGTCTGGGGGTGAAAAGGGTTGCTAAACCTACTAATTCATTTGCATGCATGGGGAATGAGGCAGTGAAACCCCAACGTGTAAGCCACACAGTGATGGGGGCCAGCAGCCAAGTGCTGGGTTCCCAGTCAGTGCTGAGCCTTCACCAGACACCAGTGCTCCTCACCGCTCCTCCCCCGTTGGCTAAGCATGAACCCTCACCCCTAACCACCACCCCAGCACCACCTCAAACCTGGGAGCAAACCCCACGTGGCACCCAGCCCCCAGAGGAAGCCCCAGGAGGGCAGGAGAGGCAGGTTACCTGCTGGACAGCATCTCCCAGGCGCATGAGGTGGGCAGACTGCCCGCTGACCTGCGCCCTGGAGGAGTACAGCAGGATGTGCAGGTCTGCCACGCTGGGAAACTTGGGGTGGTTCTTCTCACTGGGGTCCACAAAGTGCTCAATCTCTGCCATGGTGAACTCCCTAATGAAAAGACAACCATCTGCATTAAATATTTGATGCTTTAGCCCCAGCCCCTCTAATAAATGATTGTGCTTTAGCCTCTCACAAGCAGCTCAGTAGTTCAAAAACCCAGAGCCAGGACAATGTACAGACTAGGAACATGAACCAGTCTCGATGCTGGGTTTAGTTTCACCTTCATATTCCTCCAGAGATCTCCAGGCCAAGGTTACCACCACTGTGATTCAGAGCAGGAAATGCCACCTTTGGAAATATTTCCAGAAATTCTTTGGAGTTTTTCCAGTCTGCTCTGATGCCCACATCAGATGTAAACCTTTCCTCCAGGGTCAAGGAAGAGTAATCCACTGATTAATTCAGTAGCCTTAACTCATAGCAGAGGTGCCCAAAACAGCCAGCTGAGGTGATCATTTCTTGGAGATAATGATACTGCCACATGCAGCACTGGTGCACATTCTGCTCTAAGAACTTGGACTCATAGAATGGTTCTGGTTGGAAGAGACCTTCAAGATCAAGTCCAACCATTAACCCAGCACAAAACCATGTCCCTCAGCACCTCATCTGCACAGCTTTTAAACCCCTCCAGGGATGGGGACTCCACCACTGCCCTGGGCAGCCTGGGCCAGGGCTTGACAACCCTTTTGGTCAAGAAATCATTCCTAAAATCCAACCTAAACCCCTCCTGGTGCAACTTGAGGCCGTTTCCTCTTGCCCTATTGTTTGTTCTTAGGGAGAAGAGACTGACCCCTCCACCCCACTACAACCTCCTTTCAGGAACTTGTAGAGAGAAGGTCTCCCCTGAGCCTCCTTTTCTCCAGGGGGAACAAGCCCAGGTCCCTCAGCCACTCCTCACAAGACTCAAGCTCTAAACCCTTCCCCAGTTTCACTGCCCTTCTTTGGGCACTATTTTCAACACAAGCCAGGCTGCTGTTGGCCTTCTTGGCCTCCTGGGCACATGCTGGCTCATCATCAGCTCCTGTCAACCAACACCCCCAGCACCTTTTCTGCTGGGCAGTTTCCAGCCACTGTGCCCCAAGCCTGGAGTGTTGCAGGGGGTTGTTGAGACCCAAGTGCAGGATCTGACACTTTCCCTTGTTGAAACTCATCCCATTGGCCTCTGCCCATCAATCCAGCCTGGCCAGACCCCTCTGTAGGGCCTCCTACCCTCAAGCAAATCCACACTCCCACCCAGCCTGGTGCTGTCTGCAAACCTGTCTTTAATACACCTATACTCCTACATTGATTCTTTGCCTTCCTGCTTGAAATCACTTCACAGTGAATTAGTTTTGTTATCAAGAACCTTCAAAAAAGGTCTAGGTAATCATTAACTTCAAATCACAGGCAGCAGGGTGGAATTTGCTATGAGAGCACAAGTCTCCAGAACATGTGCCACAAGCATGCAATTTATATCCAACTGAAAATGCATGAAAATGAGAAAAGTTCTCATCTCCTTCTTGCAAGAGAAGAGGAGGGCTGAGAAAATTCCAAAGGGTTCCCTGGGTGCTGATGATGCCACCACCTCTCAGTGACATTCATGGCACTGTATTAATCAGTTACCATGTTTACAACACACATGGCAGAATCACACTGCCTGTGACTGGGAGCTCCTGTTCCAAGTGAGATGGAAGAGACTTCTGTTCAGAATATTCAACTAAAATATGGAGCTGAACCCTCATGAGACAGTAACTACCCCCATGCTGAGACAGAAAGCTTTGAAAGTCCTTCTCAGTAACCCTGAGCTTTCCTGCCTGACTCATCCTGGGACACAAACACGTGCCCAGAGTCAGGCTACCTCACAACTTCCTCTCTGTAGTAAGCTGCAGAACTGAGACAGGGAAATACTGCCTGCAAGGGCAATCATGGTTTGATCTTTTGCTTCCAGATTTAAGCTTTAATTACATTCATATGATTCAAACAAGCCAAGCTGCATGTCCTGTGGAGTACGCTGTTACCTTTAATAGGACTTATTTAGATCATGATGGAAGCCAAATTTTGTTAGTAAAACTGAGTTTAATCCAGGTGTTCCTAACACAGCAGCTATTTGAAGATCCTGCTTCTCACCAGCCAGGCTCCGATCAAATCCTGCAGTTAAAACCTGAACTTTATGAGCTCACCCCTGAGCCCAGAGACTCACGAGGCACGTTACCAGGAGTCCTCTGGGAGAAAGCCCTGAAGGGAAACACCCCTGTGCAAGCCCTGGAAGAGGAGGGAGGTGCTGCCTGCTGCCAGGGGGAAGGTGCAGTACCTCACTCGGATGAGGCCGGAGCGAGGCGAGATCTCGTTTCTGAAGGAGTTCCCAATCTGGGCAGCAGCAAAAGGCAGTTTGCCTTGGTTGAACTCCAGAAGACGTTTGAAGTTGAGGAATATTCCCTGTGCAGTTTCTGGCCTCAGGTAGCTGAAAGGAGATGAGGGAGAGGAAAAAAAATCAGAAAGATAAAAGGGTGGGAAAAGCAGTGAGGAAAAAAAACCCCACAGTTACTACAAAACCTGAAGTTGGTGCTTCTTCCTCTGAGTCCTTCAGCTGCAGACACTAAACAATGAAGCAACAGACTGAGGGGAACACAAACAAACATCAGCTGCAGCCCAAACACAGCACTCTGTAGATACTCCCCAAAGTAAACTGGATGACTTGGCTGCTTTTGAGACCCAAGTTATGAATATGGAATGGAAAAAGGTGTTTGAATGAGATATAGTGGCCAGTGACATCACAGGGAATGCAGCCTTGCCTTCCCTAGGTGGGCCTAAGCTATACCAAGCTGCTTACAAACCCAGATTTTGTGAGCAAACCATGACTGCAGCTCTGCTGTTACATGAACTGTGAAGTGGCTTCAGTGTAAGATCCTTGAAGTGATTTGAGTCTTCCAGAGAGAACACCACCTGCACAGGCTGCTTCATGTACCACCCTGGAGAACACATACTGGTACCTCTGATCCCCTCCCAGAGCAGATGCAAGACTCATATTCTCCACTCTACAATGGAAGTTTCAGTTTAGTTTTGGAGACCTCAGGTGTCAAAGAAGACAGAGAAAACAGGCTGAAAGGCAGGGGAAAGCTACTCAAGAAGAAATTATTTCAATCCTGTTGAGACTTCATTTTTATCCCCAGCAATCTACAGAGAAGGGAGAGTGTGAGCAGAATGAGATTAGAACCTACCCAGGCATGTTTCCCCCAGGCCCAATGGAGGTCTTGAACATCAGATTGAAGGACACAGGAGGGGACAAGTCATTCCCAGTGAGAGGTGATTTCACATTGTAGTTGACAAAGAGATCTGCAAGTTCTTGCTGGCCATAATTGTCCAACTGATATCAAAACACAGGAGAATTATTTTCATGACTAGACAAGATAACAGGAATGAATTATCAATCATCTTCATCTTTTACCAAGCATGATCCACAGCTCTGACTCACCTGCCCAAAATACACCCTTTTAAGCTAAATTTTTAAGCAAGCTGAAGTTTGAACCAATAGAAGAACACACCACACATCTGCAACCCCATTTTAGGAATATAGGTCCTCAACTCAGTCATACCCAGGAAGTCTGAAGTCTAGGTAGAAATGCAAGCACAGAGCACAAGAGTGGGTGTAAAGCAGACGAAAAGTCACTGGGACTGCACCACCACCCACCAGGAGCTGCTTTAAAACAGCTTCAGCTAAAATATGAGGAGCAGTGGAATGGAAAAAAAAAATACAGCAATGAGAGAGAAGAAAGCTAAAATTTCTGCAGGGCTTTGCCTGCATTCATTTCTCTTTCTTGAAACACAATATTCAAGCTAGGCATTTGATGCTCTTGTAGAGCTGTCCTCAGTTTTAGTGAAATGGGGCAAATATGAGCTTCTTGGTGGAAAATTTTCCATTTTCTCTTGAAATAATTTGGTAAAGACTGGACACTTTCACAAGAGGGATAACATCAGCCTCTTCCAGACCCCTACCTTCCCCTTGTCTCTGGAAGATGGGAATCAAGAACGACAGATTTAACTGCAACAGAACAACAGAAAAGCCAAAATTTCTGGCCTGGGTTTGTGCATTTATGTCCTACCCTTTTAATCAAGAACAGTAGAACCACAGATTTAACAGCAACAGAACAACAGAAAAGCCAAAAT